TTTGATGTAATGGCAGGAACCGCGGACCAGAACCTCGACGGCACTTCACTCGACTCTCCACCTCAGTATNTAGAGATTCAAAGAAGATTCAATACAAGAAGTAGATAGGATCTTGTATTTTTCTTTCACTTTGCTGTAATTTTTTCTTTTATTTTTGATGTAATGGCAGGAACCGCGGACCAGAACCTCGACGGCACTTCACTCGACTCTCCACCTCAGTATCTTCATCACCTCATTCACTTCTGAACTACACGTGGCCTGATTCCTTTATAGCCAAGGATATGTAGGCAGCTCAGATACCAGGGCTCGGTCACAATCTTTTTAGCCACCTTTATTTTCTTTTGAATAAGCATCGGGTCATAAATAAATTACGTTGCTTATTGTTCTTTGCTCCGAAAACTCTTCATGTTTTCAAGCAAAGAGGGGCAGCTGTAAACACGTAATTTTTGACCCGCGCAAATTTTAAAGTTAGTTTTGGTATTTTAATATTTTTAAAATATTTACTTGACTTTATTTTAATATAATTTTAATCTTTTTATTTTTAGTCATAAAAAAGATAATAAAATAGTTTTATTTATCGTGTTTATCGCTTTTCTATATTCTTATCTTTAGTTTAAGATCAATTAGTATATTTTTATTCATGGTATCTTAATTTTATCATGACTTTAGCCCATTTTCTTTACTTTTTACTTTATTGTTATAATATTTAATAATACAAAAAAGTAGTTTCCTTTTAAAATTTTGTTTATTTACTTAACTAAGTTTAATTAATATTTTGGTAGGATTTTTGAGTTTGTCTTTGTCCAACAAGAAAATTTGTAGGCTCAAAGGTGTGAGTCCATTTCTTTTAGCTTAAACCCAATTATTCTTAGCCCATTCTTCCCAACCCATCAGCCCATTTATGTGCAAGATTTAATCCTAGCCATCTATTTCCTTCTAATCCAATGGCCATCATCCCTTCCCACCTTCATATAAAATACCCAATTATAGAAACCCTAGGGGAGGTTTTTAACTCCTAGTCTTGAAAAAAGGGACCAGCGGCTAGCCCCAGCCCCATTCCCATTGTCGCTGCTTCTCCATCCCAAAAATTCTAGCGACCCCCTTAACCTCCAAGACTGAGCCGCTCAAACAGCCACAAATCCAACTCAATAGTCAAAAAAAAATGGACTTTGCCTGAGGAATGGAGTTTTGGTAGTATTCGAATTCGAGCTCTCGTGTGTCGTTCGAGGTTGAAGGGTCGCGATTATTGTCCCTAATTTCATAGCTTGTTTTTTTCGATCCAATTTCATCGCCGGATTGCGCACACAGTCAGGCCGAGCGTGTCTTTGTACTCACTAATCTTACTCGTTTTTTTTATAAAAAAAAAGAGCACATCTCAGGTTCATTTCTTGACTTCCTTCTCTCTTATTTTGGAAACCTCATATGCTTGTGAATTTTTAATCGCACTGAATATATTAATTGATGTGTTTGAGTCTTAGCCTGACTATATGTTATATATGCTTCTTGTGTTATGCGTGCTTAAACTCAAATGTTCTTGGTCGAAAATTACAGTAATTGGCATGTCTTCTTTGCTCAATTGGTTCTGTTCGTTATTGACTTCTTCCCTTAATGTAGTCCAATTAATTTGAACTGCAAATCAATAGTGTGACGTTGTGTTTGGATTTAGAAGAAACGGAGTCAAAGTTTCATATTCATTGTCCTACTTTATTACTCTAATTAAGTATTTGGCAGAAGTAAACAATTTCAAATGTTGGTTTTCGATTCATTTGGTTGGTTGGAGATTCTTGGTTTGAAATCAATTCATAGAACTATAATTGGAAGACAAGGATAACTATTTTAAGTGGCTCCTGTTACAATTTGATTCACTCTTCGCCTTCTTATATTTGGACTGCTGAAACTTTTATCTTTTTATATTCTTAATGAAACACGTGAATTTAGGTGCCATAATTGTTTGGTTTAATTTGCTTCAAATGGGACATGGGAGTTGGGATTCGGTAAACTTAAAAGAACTTGAATATTAGATAAACATGGATCAATCAAATTCATATATGGCTTGGGTTTGGCTATAAAGCACTACATTTTATTTTTACTGTCGCATTATTTTTGTTTGTTACTTCATTTTGCTTTGTATTGTTTAAACCCGTTAGGAGTATACTTTAGGCCGACCACACTCGGGTAGGCAAGCCTTAGGATTTTGTTAGTTTTAAGGCGAGAGGTCGTTCCTTTAGTTAATTCATCGGGGGAATGCCCCGTAGAGTTTGTATATATATATATTTGTATTCTTTTATCAGGGGTATGCCCCTAAGTGAATGTAATTGAAGGTCGTGACAAACATGGTAGAGTGAACATAGTATAGGCTATTATTATTTTCTTGTTTTGTTTAATCTAGGTGGGGACGACCTCGAGCCTCTTGTGTGTTTATTTTTCTTTTTCTGTGTTTTTCGCCTCAATTCGAATATTTTAGAAGCCAACTTGATCGAGTATGCAACCGTACTAGTTACGGGACTTGGGGAGTGCCTAACACCTTCTCCCCGAGTCAAATAAACCCCCTTACCCGAATCTCTGGTGTAGACTTAGTTTTAGAGTCTGAAATGTTTTAAAAGGAAAAGTTATTTTAAAAGAAAATCGGTGACCTGGCACACCGAAATCAAAGTCAGGTGGCGACACTGAGTTATTTCCTTTTGAACACAATTTTATCACTTTCTAATTGAAAATTCTTTTCGAGCTTTACTGCATCTTTTTATTCTATTTAAGAGGATTAGTGAGGTTTGTAAAAAAGGGGTGTGACATCTCTGGCGACTCTGCTAGGGACTTGCAGGTTCGAGGTAGTACTTGATCTTGTTGGCTTTTTAGGATATTCGGTTGAGGTTTTTATGTGTTTTGTTTGCTTTATTTAATTTTTATTTTGTTTATGTCATTTTATTATTTGCTAGTTGCTTATTTGTTTACAGTTTTTCCTTTATGTGTTACTGCTTTATAAACTGTCATCATATGCATTACCCAGTCAATTCTTTCTGCAACAAGTCTCGGAGCACGCGTCGCGTGCATGAACTCTTTGTTGAGTCACCCTTGATTTA